ACACACACACACAATCCAAAACACGGAAGCTATAAACACAAAAAGTGGTCTATAAATAATATTTTTATAAGATGTATAAGATTTTAAATTACAAATATATTTAAGCATCGTTGTTCATTTCTCCTTGACGCTCATGTTAAAATCTTTCAGTAAACCCTATGAAGTGTTTATATCCAGACATGGCAAGTATGTCGCACACATCAACTCAGCAGCTGTGGTTATCTGAACAAGAGCTGAACAAGACTGAGCCAGTAAAATTCCAGCATGGGTATGGGAGAGGCACCCTTAGCAGAGGCACTACTTGGCAGGTGATGGCTACTGAGGAAGGGAGAGTCGCTCACTCTCCTTTGGGAACACAGAAGTTGAAATTTTCCAACTATAGCTAAAGAAAGTGCAGTGGTCATCTACACAAATATACACAATTAAAAGATTTGTCCAAATATCACACTTATTTAATGGCAGAGACAAGAAAAGCTGGATTTTCTGAATCCCATCATCACAGGGGTTTTCAATTCATTACATACTGGTATATCTCATACTAGCATTATACTCTATTTCAACTGCAGACTCATCTGTTCCTTATAGTAAATCATTTCTGATAAAGTGAGGAACACCATGAAGAAGCTATAGGATGAAAGATAAATTATACATCGTACACTGAAAGAACTTTCCATGTAGTGTCAGAGATAAAATGTGTACAGAGATAACTAATAAAGGAGTCTCCAAGCTCTAGGCAGAAGAATGGAACATATAAAATGTTGCATGAATCCTGAAGAGGAAGAGATTGTTTCCAGCTGGAGAGGACCATGTGGCATTCAAGCTGAATCTTAAAACCTTATACCTTCAGAGATAGGCAAGAACAAATTAAATACCACTGCTACTGAGTACTAGCTCTCTGGACCAGCAATAATTAATCTTTAGTGCTGCGTGAAGACAACCAGCACATCGTGGTTTCCTTGGATATTTCCTGTGCCGAGGCCCTGAAAGTCTCATGCAGCAGGAACTACTCTCAGTTCCAGGAAAACTAGATGGGACATTCTCCATGCTAACAGTGGCAGAAGGTGAAGGGCAGAACCGACTCCTCCAAGTTTTCCTCTGACCTCCACACACGGGCAGTGGCAGGTATACACCCCTGCCATACACACACAATAAGAAAAAATATTTTTTTAACTTAACAAAATAACCTTTTAAAACATGCTGGGTTAATTCTTTGGTAAATTATATTCAAGAGTTATTTATAGTGGTGTGCAATCCCTAATAGTGGTGCCTTTGTCTCTAATGACAGCAGTCAACACATAGCTTTGCATTTCCTGTCATTTGTGGTTCTCAGTGAGTTAGATGGGTCTTCTTTCACTGGAGGAGGGGGACATGCATTCTGCATGCCTTACATGCTCAAATCTGTAGCAACAACATGTTAGAGCATTGGTGGGGGCATTAAATGTCATCTCCAAAATTTCTAAACTGCAAAGGTAGTGGAATTTTTTCTCCCTATAAATGAAGGAGGTGTGGGCTGGAAAGATGGCTCAGCAGTTAAGAACACTAAATGTTCTTACAGAAGACCCTGGTTCAAATCCCAGTACCCACATATCAGCTAACAACCATCTGTAATTCCAGTTCCAGGGAATCCGATGGCCTCTTCTGTCCTCCACAGAAATTGTACA